ACCCCATGTTCTTACATAGAAATATTTTGCATTTCCTATAGTTGGATATAAAATGGGACACTTGAAACCTGAGTACAAATTATTTTAGATAATGCCTGTTTGTTTTTTCAGGGTCTGTGTTTGATTATAGTTCATGCAATTTCAATATGTATATGTGTTCCAAAAGTGACTCATTTCAGAGTTGTTTCTGGTTTAAATACCACCTGCCCTGGAAATACTTTATCCTGGACTACAGATGGATGGTTCAGTACATTTTGTCTTGTTGATTGTTCTGGTGTTATGGCCATGATTTTCTTTCGCTGTTCCATGTTTTCACACTTTTACTCTTCATTGTATTCTTGTTTGTATGTTTATGTCTCTCCACAACTACATCTGCATAGAGCATAAAAACTGAGAAAACAATAGTCAATCAAAGAATAAGAAATATATATTTAACACAAGAAAAAAGTTGATATTAAAGTTAAGGTACTAATGAAAGCAAGAAAATTAGGAGATACAGTTTCTTGTGCTTAGGATTTAATACCTATATACAGAATTACATACAGAGACAGATTCTGCTCTGAATTACATACCTGCCATGCCCTTTGCAATTTTAGTGGAACTTCAGTCCTGTGTAACTGGGAGCAGCAGTTATCTCTTGTCTGTGCTACAGTCTTAATTATCATGGTGCTGCTCTCGCAACTGAAATATGGATATAGAGCTATATAAGAGCAGATCTACATACTTACAGTGACTTCAACTGAAAGAAGTGGAAGTGCCGAGAGGGAAGAAAAATGCAGGGCCCAAATTGTGAATTCAGTTACACAAGTAAAATCCTGCTGATTTCAGAGGCCGGACCATCCTTACTGTAGGGAATAATTCCAGACACACTGGGTGCAGGTGAAAACAAGCAGAGGATTTATTGAACACCAGCAATGGTGGAGTACCAACCAGGGGTTAACCTGGAGAGCACTAACTTAACCAAAACATACATTAGAATATATAGGCAGCAGATGGGCAGAGTGGAAGTGATTTGATAGGTTTAGCTGCCGAAACATTATGAGCACATAAGCCAATGGACTACAAGGTTACACAGGATCCCCGCCCATTGCCAATTAAGCATGTTATCACTAATACAGGTAATTATTTCTAACAAGCTAAATGAGCCAACATAAACAAAATGGACATGTTGATGGTAACTTGTTTTGCTGAAATTGTGATGTGTCTACTGCAAGATGACTACTTCCTTGCATTGGCACAGTTCTTGGGATCCAAGCTTATTTATCTGAAATTACAGGAGACAGTGAGAGAAACCGCGCAGCCTGGCTGGTACCAGCCAGGCCTTATCAGAGTGAGGCCCCTTTGGAATGTGGTTGCCAGGGGAACCAGGATCACAGTAGCTATTGTCTGTGTGCTTCTCAGGCCTGGCCTTAATTATTTAGGATTTGAGTTCTCAGTTCTCAGCAAGATATCATGGACTGCCTCAGTTTACCCCTACACTTACCCAAACACAGTTGCACTGAGCACCTAAAATTTGGGCAGCACTGGGTCTTAATGTTCACTCACCTGTCTCTTCCTAGCTCTGTTCTATGACTCTGCTTCCTCCCAAAATAATCTACTTAACTTGAAAGTGAAAAAGTGTCTGCCAGACCTATTAGCAGAACACAGAAGCTATGAAAGAGCCATTCAAGTGGTAATGAAGCTATTTAACAGGCATTTGCCCAACCCAGGTATATACTGTGAGTTTCTGAATTTAGTTTAAAATTTGCTTCAGAAATATTTAATTAGTGTGTTGCTGAAGATAATAAAAAAATCTCTACAATTCATTATTCGCCCCGCCCCCTTCCTGGGCTGCCGTTGGGCATAAGGGCATCTGGGTAATAGTACTGTGTAGGGCCCCATAAATCCTAAAACAGCCCTACTCAGAGGGGTTGCCTAGCTATGTGAAAATAGAATTGGCCCCAACTGTGATATATATCATGAAGGAACCAGCAAATCCTTTGTGATAACTTAGATGACAATGCACACAGTAGCTTTAGCAAACAAAAACAAATGTTTAAAGTGGCCCCAGGTATTCTTCTCATAGATTAGAGAGGAATAGAAAGAGCTGTGTACTAAATGGGACTTTGTTGAGTGCTGAACCTTTAAATGAGAGGGGGAATGTTTAAAATTATACACAATATACTGAGATCTACAGACTGACTAGAAGATTCATATTTTGCTGAAGTTACAATAAATAGCAGAATAGTACCTGAAACATCTAACAAGGTGCATTGTGATGAAAAGTCTCTTCTACAGTATTTTCAAACAACTCACAAGACTGTGACATATAGTGCTTCAAATAAGATTTAAAATCTTCTTATACTGGAATAGAGGAGTTACTCCTTCAAGTGATTATTCTTTCCCCTTTGGAAAATAATATTGATCTTGAATTACTTGTGCAGACTGACATACCCTAGGTTCAATGTTTGACATTTCCTGAAAATCCCAGCAGTTTCTTGCAGCTATTTCTCCCCTTTACTGAAGAGGTCTTGATGCAGGCACAACACTTGTAAGGAAAAATTCAGGGAGGTAGGAAGGAGGGAGATCATAGAATCATAGAATAATAGGACTGGAAGGGACCTCAAGAGGTCATCGAGTCCAGCCCCCCGCCTTCAAGGCAGGACCAAGCTCCGTCTACACCATCCCTGACAGATGTTTATCTAACCTGTTCTTAAATATCTCGAGAGAGGGAGATTCCACCACCTCCCTTGGCAATTTATTCCAATATTTGACCACCCTGACAGTTAGGAATTTTTTCCTAATGTCCAATCTAAACCTCCCCTGCTGCACTTTAAGCCCATTACTCCTTGTCCTGTCCTCAGAAACCAAGAGGAACAAATTTTCGCCTTCCTCCTTGTGACCCCCTTTTAGATATTTGAAAACCGCTATCATGTCCCCCCTTAATCTTCTTTTTTCCAAACTAAACAAGCCCAGTTCATGAAGCCTGGCTTCATAGGTCATGTTCTCTAAACCTTTAATCATTCTTGTCGCTCTTCTCTGTACCCTTTCCAATGTCTCCACATCTTTCTTGAAATGTGGCGCCCAGAACTGGACACAGTACTCCAGCTGAGGCCTAACTAGTGCAGAGTAGAACGGCAGAATGACTTCACGAGTTTTGCTTACAACACACCTGTTGATACAACCTAGAATCATATTTGCTTTTTTTGCAACAGCATCACACTGTTGACTCATATTCAACTTGTGGTCCACTATGACCCCTACATCCCTTTCTGCCATGCTCCTTCCTAGACAGTCGCTTCCCATCTTGTATGTATGGAACTGATTGTTCTTTCCTAAGTGGAGCACTTTGCATTTCTCTTTATTAAACCTCATCCTGTTTACCTCTAACCATTTCTCTAACTTGCTAAGGTCATTTTGAATTATGTCCCTATCCTCCAAAGAAGTTGCAACCCCACCCAGTTTGGTATCATCTGCAAACTTAATAAGCGTACTCTCTATCCCAATATCTACATCATTGATGAAGATATTGAACAGTACGGGTCCCAAAACAGACCCTTGAGGAACTCTACTTGTTATCCCTTTCCAGCAGGATTTAGAACCGTTAACAACAACTCTCTGACTACGGTTATCCAGCCAATTATGCACCCACCTTATCGTGGCCCTATCTAAGTTATATTTGCCTAGTTTATCAATGAGATGAGACATCTGATAAATTAATACATTTTGAATTCAAAAGAACATTAGAATTAACCATTATAATTAAACAAATGGAATATATTAATTCAGACTGAACTTCCAAGGATGGATTATTTCACATGTATGTGGATTAGGGGTTATGTCGAATGCTTGCACAATCACGTGAGACATAAATTAGATCATGCAATGAAAACTGGAGAAAAAAACTAGAAAACAAACTGTGACTACAGAGGCAAATGTAATTTATTGTAATGATCATTTTCTATTTAATAGAAGATGATCTTTAAGGCACGGTACAGAAATCATTTTAGTTATCAGGAAGTATTTAATGTCTGGGTAGTTGTTTACGAAGTGACTAAAAGGACAGGTTTACACAGGCATTTGCTGTTTAGTTAAAAAAAACAGTTTAAACAAACTTAAACAAACCAGTTTGACATTTAAGACAATAGAACACATAGGACTTGATGTTGATCTCAGTTCAATGCACTCAGACTCTCAATGTATTTGTTCCACATTTATACCAGTGCAAGTACTAACAGAACCTGTCCCAAACTGAGGAAGGGAAAAGCCACTCTTCCTATGTCCATCTATAACTGGTAGCAGTAGGAAAGCTGTGATGTGCTCTGGAAAGTAAAGTCATTAGCAGCTGAATATCATACAACATTGTGGCATGGCAGCAAATATAGTATAATTTTTGCAAAATGGTATTTAGTGAAAATATTTCAGTCCAATGGTCAACACAGAGAATTCTAAGGAAAGTTTTTGAGTAGGCCTTGTGATTGGTATACAATACTGTAATTACGTTTCAATGTTGTGTTAAAATATTCGTCTCAGTCTTGCCCTTTCAAGAAAATTGGTGGAGTTATATTGCCTCTGTTAACACATTAATCTTTGAAGGCATTAGAAGTGATTCACTGTCTATCCCAGGATTAAGAAAATTTGCAGATTCTGCTGCCATGAATCGACCAGGGAAATCATTATTTAAATGCTGGAGTAACAGTGCAGTACTGTAGGTAACAGCTTCCAGTGAGAATAGGTGCTTTCTTTGTGTTTTCTATGAAGTAATCTAATGTTTTATTAGAATAGGAAACTGGCTGTAGAAAGCTATTATACAGGGAGTCCCCAATTTATGAACAGGTTGTGTTCCAAAAGTTTGTTTGTAAGTCAGTTGTTTGGAACTAAGAACTCATTGAAACAATGTTATAAATGGTAGTTAGGATCCCTGACCAGCCCACAAAAACCTATTTAACCCATAATGTAGCTAAAAT